GATTCAACATTTTGATTTAAAAACGACAGTTCCCTCAAAGACTATCCCCGCTCAACCCCCCCCCCCCCCCCACAATAGTTCAGGCGTACGCTTATAAAAAATGTCGCAGCTTCCGATTTTCCGTTGAGCTCTCAGGGGGGCTTTTCAAAAAAAAATTGGGAAGCGTAAGCTAAATAAACGGGCCCTAATTTTATGTATTATTCGTATCTTTTACGTACATAAAGGTCATCAATATATTAACAACACGTAGTCTTTTTGTGTTCATTAGATTTGCATCGCACGCGTGTCCGAAGGGACCATTTACTGCGTGGTTGGGCGCGGCGTGATTGCGATGGTTCTAAGCGCGGTTCCGCTGGCCACAGAGGTGCCGCAAGTGCAAGGCGGTGCAACCGCCAGCCAGGAGGGCAAAGTATTATGGCATTCCCGTATACATACGTACATATGAATCATCAATATACAAAGTACAGGAAAAGTTATGTAAAGCGGTGGAAAATCGATTTAGAGATTTTACGGAAATATACTGAGATTTAGGGGGGGGGGAGGGTCCCCTGGAGTACCGATTTTTTTTTTTCTTTTTTTCCTCGTAACGTCACCATGTCGTTGGATTATTTTTCCAGACTGAAATAAGAACCCTATTCTGGCTCGGAGCTTAAAGATTTTGAAAAGTTTTTCTTTTCAAAATTTTGCGGATATATTACATGAAGCCCCGGACAATTTGTGCAAAATTTCCCAAAATCAGTCCCAATTTTTTCATTTAACTTCTTGTAAAAAATATTATACTTACGAGAGATATGGAGAGTCCACGTTAAATGGGGACAAGCGCAATATTTGTATCGGCCCTTGATAGCTACAACAGGATAACTTTAAAAAAAGAAAATTGAGCAAGTTTGGGGAGAAAAAAGATTTAAATTGCCTACATTTCGCCAAAATTACTCGAAAACGTACTAGAATTTTCGGAAAAATTGGAAACATGAACCTAATTTCAAGATCTGACTTCAAAGAACAATTTAAATGAGGAAACGAATATGTTCAATATATCAGTGTAGAAACTCCCCAACAATTCCACGTGTGCCAATATTTAAAAATTTGGGATTTAAATGAACATGAAACCTGCACTTAAGTTTTCCTTTACGCTTACTTGAGGACAAAGTTTAATATATAAATTTGAGCTATTTTTGAAAAAAATCGAAAATGTTTTTGAGGATTCTGTGTAAAGTAGCCTCATAAATCAAATATCCGGCTTCTATAACTCCCAAAGTTTCAAGTTCATATCGGTGCAGCAGGAATAACCATTTTGGAGAAATCCGGCCTAAACGGTTTAGGGCGCTAGCTGTTACCAACAGAGACCAGGCGTTTTGCCGGTAATCCTATTTTATCGATATCAAGGACCACAAAATGGATTCTCGCTACTCCCCGTGTTAGAGGAAAAATTTTTCTGTCATAGCAACATGTTTATCACTTTTTCATTACCAGACCCTTAATAAGTTTTCTGATGGAAATTCACCGAGTTTCCCGGCGCGCGATTACATAAACTTTCTCTTCTTAAGTAGTAAATTGCGGGAACCGAAGAAACGGCGATTCATTTATTCTTCCGTTGTTTTAAAACAAACATTTTTAGATTAAAAACTTAATTATTTCTTTCGAATTTGGGGTCTAGCCACGGGCGCCCCCGGACAATAGTTCTAGTGCGGTATTTACCATCCAGGCTGATTCACAGGGCTCTTGGCAGTAAAAAGTAGATAAAGATGCTAAATTTAGAAAAAAAAATTCTCTAACACGTGGTGTAGCCAAATCCATGTTTTCGTGGGTCTTTTGATACCAAAATATCGATTGACGGCAAAACATCTGGTCTGATATGTGAAACACTAAGCGGCAAAAACCAAGTTCAGACCCCATTCTCTAAAATTGTTATTTTCCTGCAGGTATCTTTATGGCCGAGCTTCGGGCCTGCCTTGAATTTGGAAGTCGTATATTTTAATTTTGGCGGGCTAATTACCGCAGGCGACATTTTTGAAAATTTAAAAAAGGCTCCAACTTTTTTTAATAAACTTTGTTATTGGATAGTGTATAAAGAGAATGGCGCAGGTCTTATATTCGTTAGCAAAACCTGATTTTCCGAAAATTGACAAAAATTCAAAGTTAATTCGGCGTTTTTCCTACAACTACATTATGAACGAATTTTTTTTGGTTAAAGAAATGTATATTATCAAAACAGATAATCAAATAAGGTCAGGCATAGAATGTTTCGTAAATATGATAATTTATTTTAGTAATTTGGGCCATCATTATAGTCACCCGCTCCAATATTGACTGGCGGTTCGTGGATGTAAAATTAATGATGATGCCCGGCGTTGGATGCGAACGCTAAGTTAAAATTTGATATATTATTCGTTATATTCTTTTGTTCGTTGTTCTTACATTCGAGCTTTAGTTATAAATTTCACATAAATCTTTATTTAACAACGACTATTTTAATTAGGGCTCTTTAATGAGGTTAAATGCGAAAAACAAATGTTAGATATTCGCTTTGCTTCGTGAGATTGTAGTAATTGAAGAGTTATGCATAGTAAAGACCTAGTAATTTTGGATGAATGTAAAATAATATATTTAATATTATATTTTCTTTACTAGCGTATCAACAATGTAAATTGGCAAAAATGTGTATCCCATACGAGTTTAAAGGTCATTGCTTGTTGCAACCCAGTTACTGTAATCGCGCACACTGATAAACAGAAGTGCCACATTACCAAAAAAGCGTAAAAATGTAGCTGAAACTAAAAATTTAACCATTACATAAAAACTGCAAAATTTTTTCACACCAGTTATAAATTTTTGAATATTAGCCAATAAAACAGGTTCATGTATCCCGTATGGAGGTATTACCAGCGCACATTTTCTGGGAGCCTCGATTCATCTAGATGCGAAAAGAAGTTGGCAGGTTGGGATTACTTGGCGACAGGACTATTATATCAAATCTTAAGCTCGTTTTAACAATGCAAAAAGAAGTTTCTCATACGCAGGGAGCGAATATTTCTGATACCAGATTTGTGTTAACAATGCCCGTTCCTAAATTATTTATTCTGAATCCAACTAATGTTAGAAAAAGAGTGGGGGTAGGTATTACAAGGCTCAAGAAAACGTGCCGCGGTACCTAAGAACACAAAGACCATTGAGTGTTTTGAGAACTTTCGAAACGCGAAGTATAACATCATTCAGCTAACTACGAATTCAATTGTAAGTCTAATACCAGATACTCTAAGAACATTGTATATAACAAAACTGCGCATCGAAAGAAAGGAAGTATCGATAAGAAATTTTCAACACATGAAAGCTATTTTTTAAACCGGTTTTTCAGCGTCAGCGACACCCACATTTTGACGTGTAATTGTGCGCTGGAACTTTCGACACAAAAAACTGTTTTGGCTGGGTCCTGATAACGGAAAAACTGGTAAAATCCAGTTTGCTAAGAGGTAGAAGAATAAATATTCTCTGATACTCGTGGTGTAGTCCCAGAATATCCCTGTTATTTGCGTGACTTCATACCGTAAATAATCTCGATTGATTGCGCAAAAGCTTCTATTGTATGTGTCTCTTCGGCTCCTGTTGCACTATCAGTAGCCACTATAGCGAGTTCATATTTGGTTCTCCAAACACGGTATTTCCTTCACACTTGTTCTTCTGCTGCTCTGTTTAGTTACTCTTTAACTGGTTCCTTTCATTGGCATTATTTGATCTACTCTCACATCACTCTCCTATTAATTAAGGTATATGTGCGCTCCACAGTGTTCTCACCTGTCTACGAAAGTATAGTGTGTAGATAGCCACACACATGGCTAAATTTAATTAGTAGTTTGTTTCCTTTAATTAGTTGCAAAGAAGCGTTTTCATAGATTTATTTGGTGTACGCTTTATTTATTTTTTTCCCGTTAAAACCTTCCGCCTTGGCTGATTCTATTTTGACCACAAATTCTGTCATTTCCGGAATAAATTAAAACTACAAATTTGGAATGTAATAGATTTTTCCTTATGAAAAGTTTATGTTATATTCGAAATTGGCTCTTTTAAAAAAAGGTATCCTGTACATTTCTTTGTAAAAAATTGATATTTTGGCATTATGTTTTCGCTTCAATTTGACTCGCGATTGTTTCTCAGAAACCGCTTCCGGATTGCATTGTTTTCTTGTAAATTTCCTGGTATTGTGATAGTATTATATATTATTATATATAGTATATTTATGTATATATATTATATTACCTATCAATCATAGTATCTCATACCTGATATTTATATATGACTTACTTTATATAGGTAACTATACCTATTTAGCTCTCATCCCAGACATATCTCCATGCGACTATTGCTCTCTCGTAAGTCGCCTTCTTTCGTATTCTAAAAATGATAGAATGCTCATCACGGCCGTAGAACGGTTTTTACTAATTTTCTGGGTTTTTCCTGGTGGTTTAGCCTCCACTTCTTTAGTTGACGAGGAATCATAAGGCACGCACTGGCTGTGTTCAACAAGTAAATCTTATATGAAGTGAAAGTGCTTTCGGGATGGTGGATAGGATGCCGGTGATATACAGGTGATTCGATGTGTCAATTGTTTACAGAGAATCGATTGGCACGCAAGACTTTGTTCGTTGTAATAACCGCATTACAAGTACGAGCAATGATTTCGCCAGGATCCGTCTTTTCTGTTTAAACCGATCGATCTTCTTTTATATAATCCCGCATTTCGCTCGTGGAGTCCGACATCTCTTTAGCGACGCGCTGTGCGTCGGGCACTTAGTTGCACACGATACTCCCCATGGGATTACCGGTCAAGAGCACGTGCGTCAAAAAGGTAAATGAACGCGG